TCGTTTTGTCGACAGTATCAAGTGTTTTTTTTTTCGTGCACTGACTGGTAGAGCTTAACGTAGGTCGGCCAACTTTTGTTCAAAGTCTTCCATCGTATATGCTTTGCAAGTCCTCTAAAATGTCTTCCTCGTTTTCTTGCTAAATCGTAAATTCATCTCAAGATGTCAACAACAAAGCCTGTGTTTCGAGGTAGGGGAATACCGCTTTAATGGCCATGTCGATGGAAGCAGCCCAGTCAGATATAATGCACAAATTTTTAGGCTCATCGATGCATTCTTTCAACCTGGATAAAAACCATGTCCAAGACTCCCCCACTCTCTATCTTACCCACCACATAAGCAATGGGAAAAATCTGGTTGTTTCCATTCATGCCAACAGCCAAAAACATGGTACTTAAGTAAGGGCCTTTCAGATGAGCACCGTACATTACAATCAGCGGTCATAAGTAATTAAAAACTGATCGAATTTTCAAAAATCGAAAAGAGAGACATTACACATATATAAAATAATATATATACACATATAATTTCGACAAAGAACCAGTAAAAATGTTTATACCGCACAACCAATTGTGATAAAGAACCGCTCAAACCGTGCCCTTTCATCGGTCTCAATCTTTGTTACGGTCCCTGGATTAGTCTTTTCCAAATTGTAGTAGCACACCAGGAGTATGGAAAACGATTCCTCTGGGTTACCTCTTAGAAGGATAATGACATAATATTTTGCATGCCAAGCTTGCATATGGCTAACTGAAACTTTGTAGTTGTTCTTCACATCAACGATGATGTCATGGCTCTTATATACTCTATTTGTGTCATTCATTGCATATTTCAATATATGACCCAACACCTTCTTGTTCGTTTGACGGTGATTGGGATACACTTGCGTTCGTGAACATGTGTTGTATGTCTCTAAATATACAAACCTGGAACAACTTCGTGCCGTCAATTATGGTTGCTCTTATTTGCTATTCGCACTTTTCAAATATACATACCGCTTCAGACCCAGATCGGATGGATCTGGTGGTTTTCATCTAGTAACACTCTTCAAGACATTTCAATCCTAGTTGAAAATTCAAGTCGCTTTTACACTTGAATATTTGTCCAACTTTCACATGTTTAGAACGTTAATGATTGGCAGCCGGTTCTTTAGGCTTCACAATAGGGACTAACGTTGGTAATGGGAGGCATGCCCCAAAATAAATTACAACCAGTCATACCATTAATGTTACCCTTATCAACACCTTATTTATCTCCCTCCTCCGACCCTTCTTTATCTTTCTCATCCGGTTCGCTATCAATATTATCTTATTGTATCCCTGAATATTCATCTATATTGGGATGATACAAACAATCCCCGAAATATAGTCCCATAATAAGGATCTAAATCAACCTTATATTTCTCAGATTCATTTTCAGTATCATCTAAATTGGCCTCATCTTCTTCGGTAGGAATTTTAGAAATATGAATGCCATGATTAGATGGTATTGGTACGTCGGACGATTTTTCATACGACTGATATGGAGTTTCATACGTCTCCTGGCTTTGAAATTGGTGATATTGAGATTCGTACGCTTCATATAGAGCTTGAAACGGTTGATACTGAGTTTGGTATGACTGATATGGAGTACTCAGAGCTACCTCATCATTTTTGGAACAGTTGGTATGGAATGAGTGGGCCGTATGTATTGGCCGTGACCCGACTCATATGGAGTTAGTGGAACTGTCTCTTGCCTTTGGTTCAACTCATATGGAACGAGTGGAATTATATACTAGGAGTAGCCCGACCCATACACAGTGATTGAAACAATCTTTTACCTTGGGTTCAGTAAATTACTTTCATCACCACAATCGCATACATACAATTTAAGGGCTTATGATGAAATTTCCACATCAATAGCTAGAAAATATCTCACATCGTCGGTGTCAAACAACTCAACAATCGCACCAGATGACAGAGATTTATATGTTAACTTAACACGATCCGGTAAATCTTGTAAGTTTAATTTTATCGCTAAATAATTGATCAAACCTGAAAATGTTAAGTGCATTGGTAACAACACGACCGCTTTTTGAGTTTATTGAATATAATCTACCACCTCGTTAACTAACTGCCACAAACCTCAACCAAAACCTCGTACCGGATTAGAACATATTAGTGATGGTAAATAAAAATCAGAGATATATACATATATAAAGGGTTTGAAGTAGAAAAAAAAACAAAGTAGGAGTCAAAGTGGTGTTGGGAAGTGACCAAATTTGTTAGAAATGAAAAAAAGGAAGGTCATGTGAGGGGTGCCTGGATGGGGCCTTACGTGTCGAGGTGCTCGGTCCTCCCTGTCAGGCGCATAACTGGCTAACAACCGACGCTGACTCACGTCAGCTTGTCGAGTCTTGTCAAATCAATCACCATCGTCAATTCTATTGTCAAATTGAATGCAACGTTTTTAGATTTTTGTCATTTTGGTGAGCCATTATGCGTCGGAATGGGATGAAGGAGGAGAGGGTGTTGCGTTTGAAAAATATGTATTTTAGGATTATTTTTGTATTTTTTTTTTCCAAAAGGCCATTTTGGTCAAGAACCACGGAAATTAAAGAGATCTCTTGAAGGTCTACAATGGTGGTTCTTATAAAAACCTCCTTTTTGTGGACCATGTTGATTATTTCAACATCACTAATTATTATATTAACATTACTAATAATTACTAAAAGAGTACTCGCGCAATGCAGCGAGACATATTTCGATTTTAATGTTTTATTTTATTATTTGTCTCTGTCGATGTTATAATAATATTTTATGTGTTTTTAAGAAAACAATAATGATTTTATTTTTGAATAAAATATAAATTTGAAGATATCATAAAAATTTGAAAAAAAAAAATATCAATTTAATCAAATCAACTATTTAAAAGTTCTAATTTTTTATATGTAATTTCTTTAATTTATTTTTTTATTATAATTTAATTTAAGTTTAATAACGAAATAATTTATTTTTGGTTTAATAATATAACATTTTATAATGACGATAATAAGTATTCTTTAAGAACTTAATGATTATCTTAATTATATTTTAGATTTTGTATATTTAAAATGAGACGTTTATCCTGTATTTGATTATGTTAATCTGCAGTTAGTTACACGAATTCAGATATGAAACTTTAATAAGTTGTACCTACACACAATCTACTTGTAATCTTGAGTTTTAAGTAATATGCATTAATAAACAGTACTTTACGCATAAAAAAGTAATTTTTAAGAGTTTTTGTCAAATACTTTATAATATAGTATAGATAAAGTTAAGAAAATAAAATAAAAAAACAAGAAAAATGCCACTTCTCACAAACTTAATAGTAAAACCAAGGTTCTTGTTCAAACAACTAAGAGCATAGGGTTTTTATAAGAACCTCTCCACAATGGCAGTTCTTATAAGCTATTACATTTTTTTTTTCTAATAAGAGCCTTGCATTGAAGATTAGGGGAGCTCAAAAAACCGATCAACCCGACTAACCCAACCTGAAAAAACCTAAAAGAATCAACCCGAGGTTACCCGCCATATAATTCATACAAAATTAGGACAAACGAAATCTATTAGGTTGAAACAGGGTTAGGCCTAAAGTAACCTGACCAACCACCAACCCGATAAAAGTTTTAGCGGTTCCTCTAAAAATATTTGTATTTCTCTTTAATATGTATAAGTCACCAAAAACGACTCGACAACAACGAGCAATGAAACTCATAAGTGGACATTATTGGAAAGTTATATATAATAACTAAATATTTGATAAACTCGTATATTCTCGTTAATGATTGATCATATCTCAAAAGAAAGTTTCCTTTATTTTTATGTTCCCGATGTTGATTTTACTTTTTTTTAAACAAAACCACCAACCAGAGTGGGTTAGGTTGGGTTACACTTTTGTTTGGGTTGACTGAGTTGAAAATTTTCAAACCATCCATATTAGGTTAAGCTGTTCAATTGTCTTCAATTCAATTAACTCAATCTATAAACACCACTATTAAAAATGCTTTTATATAATTCACTTTTTTTTTTAAATCCTAGTTGTGTACCCGTGCAATGCGGCGGGAGCCTTGAATTTTAACGATTTTGAAGTTTCTTTGGTTTTGTTAGAGAAGATCTAACGATGATATAAGTTACATTTGTTCTTTACATATTAATACAATTTGAATAAATAAGAGTTATGATTTCAATTACAGTCTATCGATTAAAAAAATTGTATGACAGTTTAAAATCCAACATATTTAAATGACTCCACAAATGTGTTCCATTTACACCAATAACAAAGAATCAAGAGATCGAGACGAGACCGAGACTTCTAGAGCAATTGAATGGGAGAACTTTTAATAACTCATGCTGAATATCAGTTTGAATCTCACATTGGGGGATGAGGAGAAGAAATAGAGGTATGAGAGGATGAAGTAATAGTATATTGAGAACATGAAATGAAAAAGTAATAACGTGCATTGGTAACCTATACTATGTGTTATTTTAATTGTAGATTAAGAGATTTTAAGACTGAATGCATAAAGTAGTAGTACTTAATGCATTATGAGTTGTTTTTAAGACTTTGTGCATTAAAAATTGTTTTTAAGACCTTTAATAAATCTGGTTTATAAGATAGTATAGATATAACAATATATAAATATACATTCATGGGTGTTTGATAAGAAATATTAAGCAGTTTTTAATGGAAATAAAATAAAAAGAAATGATTATGTCTTTTATACGCCCAAATTTTCATTTCAGGTTAAACTTTGGGAATACAAATTCATTCATATTTTCTCAGTTATTTTTATTTTCATATCTATTTTCATTCTTCTGTCTGAAGTAAACGTTCCTTCGGAATGATTTAATATGAAAGTGACTCGATGCTTTAGTAAGTTGTACGTTGATGCATCACGTCTGTACACGTACATGCATTGTTCTCCACGAGATTTTCTTTACAAACAAGACATCTATAATTTGGGGCGAGTGTATGAACATTAACAAACAAAGAAAAAGTCTACAAACCTCAGGTTCCAACCCTCCTCCATTTCTCCAAAACGCCGCCATAGTTTTCAATCAGCTCGACCTTTCACCACGATCATTCATATATGTATATGCATATATGGTGGCCAACGAATCTTGAATCGGTTTTTTCATTCTGATGATCTATAGCGGTGGAATCACGGTTCGTATTTGTAGAAAATGCTTGCGATTTGCAAATTAGATTCAATCCCTAACCAAACACCTCTCTCTTCTCGCTATGTCAAGGTTCAAATTCTTTTTTCTATCTCAAACTCCTTATATGCTTGCATTGTGTTAGGTTTATAGGTTTATGCCTTTTTGTTCCACCGAATTTTTGTTGAATGAATGACTGATGTAATTTCATGGGTATGATGAGTGCTTAGGTTTAACACTTGGAGATTTTGGAAGGAATTGTTGACCTTGAAAGTTTGAATTTATGTAACGCTAGAGTGGTCTTGGCTTTTCGTTGTTAAAAAAAGCTAGGATTTGTAAGAGTCGAGTGAATTAGATCTCCACAATCTGTCAAAACTTGCCCAGGTCATGCAACCTGTGATGTTCTTTTTTTGTTTTGACATTTTCATAATAACTATGGTTAGGTGGTTTGTTTAAGACTATGGTTTAGGTTGTCAATCACTCTGTAACCATACCATGCAGTAACTATCTTTTGCCTACAAAATAACATATTATTTTACTTTATGGGTTTTCTATTCTGCAAATACTGTTCAATTACTTGTGAGCTTCCAACCTGTAACTGTAAGCTAGAGAATTACAAGGAGACATTTTCTTATTAGAAGCTAGAACTAATTATCAATCTTCATATGATGTAGGATCATAATTCTTTAATTATAAACTGATTGGATGGTCATAGAATGCATTGTTAAGCTAAGGGATTGGAATGAGTGAGGATCCTTCTACAAAATTATAGCTTTATGCAGGTAAATTAAGGGAAATAATGTCAAAGATTGTAGTCTGATTTTTGTATGGACTGGGGTTCAAATTAGAAAAAAATTATTTACTCTCTGGACAAAGGGGTGGGGTGGAAGCATGGAGCAAGAGTGAATTGACTTGTGCTTGGTGTTGGATATCTGTTTTCAGATGAACGGTTAGGTTAGAGAACTGATGCGTTTTACGCATGATTTTGGATCTAGCACTTTAGATGGGGCATCTTATGGGGCATGAACTCTAATTTAATTGATAAATGTGACATCTGAAATGGGTCTTAAAAATATAAAGCTGCCATTAGTTTATTTTTAAATTTTAATTTATTTAATTTTGTTTCGTATTTGTATTTGTTATGCCTCACATGTGAACAAGGTTTTGTTATTGTCTAATTAGCCCTACATACAGGCCATCGTACTTCATTTATAGTTCAATATAGAGACATCTTATTTTTGGAATATTTTCTCCTTTGGGCATTTTGGGGAGATGCCAAACGTCTAACGTGTTAAACTGAAGATATCTAGCATTTGAAGAGTGATTCCTGAAACTCTGATTCTTCTCATTTCTACTTTTTCATGATTCTTTTGCATCCGTTTGTTTCAAAACCAACTCATTTATTGTAAAAACAGGCTCTTGGCGATCAGAAATATTAAGAGAACAGCACAATTAATCAGAACAAGCAACTGGGGAGTTCATTCAGAAGATGGGAAGCATGGGTCAATCGTCAGATTTGGTTTATACTGTTCCAGATTCAGGATACACTCTCAAAGCATGTTCTCGAATAGAGGGTTTGCTTCCGTCTTGGCATGTAAAGCCAAATGTTGTTTTAGCAAGAACAGTTTTTCTAAAAACTATTCTGTTATCCCAGCCAATAACACGATGACACATCATGCCCAAATTGCTTGGAAGAGGCTTTCAGATAGTTCGTATCGGAATGGGCAAATTTCTGGCATAAGTAGGATTGCTCAAGCATTTAGTTTGGCTTTAAGCCGATCATACGTTGTTCTTCCTGGTATATTTGCCTTGACATGTGGCAATATGGTGTTGGCAGATGCAGGGTCAAACCTTGATTATCTTCAGCCAAGAAATACTCTGTACATGCGTGCTGAAAATGGACATGCATTCTTAGTTTCATCATTACTTTCGGTATTTGAAGGTCTAGTATTGCTGTTCAGAGCTGTTTATTTGGCAATTTTGTTCTCACCCAGTATGGCGATGGCTCCATTTGCAGAGTATTTTGGGGCCTCGTCTAGACAAACGTGGCTTCAGCTAGTACGTCGTACTCTGGAAATAGCAGGTCCTGCATTCATAAAGTGGGGCCAATGGGCAGCCACACGGCCAGACCTTTTTCCTACAGACTTGTGCACTGAGCTCTCTAAGCTTCACAGCAAGGCTCCTGAACATAGCTTTGCTTACACAAAAAAGACAGTTGAGAAGGCTTTTGGTCGTAAAATTTCTGAAATTTTTGATGATTTTGAGGAGGTGCCTGTGGCATCAGGAAGTATTGCACAAATCCATCGAGCTTCTTTGAAGTATAGATACCGTGGCAAGCGTAACAAGCCTTTATTAGTTGCAGTTAAAGTTAGACATCCTGGGGTGGGTGAATCAATTAGAAGAGATTTTGAGATTATTAATGTAGTTGCAAAGATCTCTAAATTCATTCCTACACTTAATTGGTTGAGATTGGATGAAAGTGTACAACAGTTTGCAGTTTTTATGATGTCCCAAGTTGATCTTGCACGGGAAGCTGCTCATTTGAGTAGATTTATATATAACTTCCGCAGTTGGAGAGATGTTTCATTCCCGAAACCTGTATATCCGCTTGTTCACCCTGCGGTTTTGGTAGAAACCTTTGAACATGGAGAAAGTGTGGCACGCTATGTTGATGAGCTCGAAGGACATGTCCGACTTAAGAGTTCTCTTGCTCACATTGGGACTCATGCGCTTTTGAAAATGCTGCTGGTAACATCTTCAGTTCCCTTAATGCTTCTACCTCTTACTATCAGGACTTGCCATATTTTGTTATTTGACCTCATTGCTACCTTGCGCGATAATCTGTGATATATACTTTGAATTGATACTGTTTTCTGTATGAAGAACATGGTGCCATAAGTTTAATGTGTCTGGTAATCACTAAATCATTGAGCGATTGACTTTATGAATCATTGTTCTTTGCTTTTGTTGACAAATCATTGCTCTTGGTAAAATGTAGAAAGGAAAACACATTTTGGAAGAATGAGCCAGTTTTGGATACTTGTGGAAACGTAAGAAAACCATCTTGTTTGTAATCTTTTGTCCAGAATCATTCATTCTTGGAAATTTGGTGCCCCTTTTTGTATTTTCACAAGAATGATGGTTTGTTTGCAACAAAAAATAAAGTATGATGTTTGGAAGTTCTTTCACTCCTAAATGCATATTGATCTTGTCATAATGCCAAAAAAAATACCAGAGTTTGCAAGAACAAGTGGTGTTGGATAAATTGTATCAATGTAAATGCAAAAAAAGCCATTATGATTGGCACCTTTGTATCACCATACATTACTTGCAAAAGGTCAGCTTTTTTTTTTTGCATCTTTCCTGGAACAATGGTTTGTTTGCAATGAAAAGGAAAATATAATGGTTCGATAACTTAATTACTCGTTCCTTTAAGGCTTCTACCAAATGAGATTTACTGTTTCAGTTGTATACCATTTTTGCTGCTTTGTGCTGATGCAATGACATAATGATAACTTCAAATCGATTATACTTTTCAATGAGCTTGTGGCTTTCATAAGTTTTATTGTGTGATAGTCCCTGCACCAACTCAAATTTGATGTTAGATTACACTTTTTATAGGAGTGATTAGCTTTTCAAACCATTGTTTTTGGTCTGTGTTGCAAACAAACATCTTTCTTGCAGAAAAGCCAAAAACACTTCCATGTACATGAATGAGTGATTCTGGACAAATTATGGGAATGTGAATGCAAAAATAAACATTTTACCTGGCTCCTTTTTTCCAAATTACTCATCGTGCAAAGGTAATGTTCTTTTTGCATTTTCTCAAGAATTATGGTTTATTTGCAGCAATAGGGAAAAATCATTGCTCGGAAAATCATATTCACTTTAAATAAATTAAGTTCTATTTTAATTTTTCAACAACTTTCTTTTTGGGTAACTGTGGGTATCCGGACCAACTTACACCAACTAATCCCCCGTGTGAGCATGAACCTCCATGGCCACAAGGGCTTTGGCAGCACCTAGATTTGAACTCAGGGAAGATAGATTTCTACTACATCCCCCTACATGGCCACAAGGGCTTTGACAACGCCCGGATTCGAACTCGGGAAAGATGAGATTTCCACTACATCCCCCTACATGGCCACNGCCACAAGGGCTTTGACAACGCCCGGATTCGAACTCGGGAAAGATGAGATTTCCACTACATCCCCCTACATGGCCACAAGGGCTTTGACAACGCCTGGATTCAAACTCGGGGAAGATGAGATTTCCACTACATCCCCCTAAGCAGCTGGTGCACCACAACCCAAGTGGTTATTTTTCAACAACCTTGCTGTTGTCATACGTTAAATTTGTGTGGTAATCACATCTACTCGAGTTTGGTGTTTGATTAGGCTTGTAGGAGTGATTGGCTTTTTGAACGTCAACTTGGGCTTTCATTGCAAATTAACCATCACTTTTGTGAAAATGCCAAAAGATCATGGTAGTTTGTAAAAATGGGCCACTTTGGGACATATTGTGGAAATGTAAATGCAAAATGAAACATCTTACTTGGAACCTTTTGTCCAAAATAAATATTAGAGCAAAATTTAATGTTCTTTTGGTGTTCCACAAGAACTGTGGTTTGTTTGCTATGAAGGATGGTTCAGAAAGTAGATAACTTCTTTCTACATGTGACAACGTAGATGTGTTTAATTGAGTTTTTATGTAAACCCAACCTATATTCAACCCAAGCTAATAACGTTATAATAAATTGAGTTCTTTCGGTTGATAATGTGTAGAGTAACTTGAGTTTTGGTGAAAATATTAGCTTTTTTTAAGGCAAAATAACACAATTTTGATTTCCACACAATGTCCAAAACAATAGGACTTGCTTTTATGGATTCACTCGATAACGCTGTATGCATGGTGAGCATGGAAACAATTATTACAATAACTGGATGCTTCTGTGTTACAAACTGTTGGTGGACAAAGACCACATTACCTTGTTTGTGGAGCATGGAAACAACTGAATGCACAAAAAGGATATAACACTACTTGATGAGTGAGCACACGGACAGCATTCATTGAAATTGCTTCTATGGTACAACACCTTAATGCACAAGAAAGGCAGTGTATTGATTTTTTGCACAAAAGCGAACAAATTTCAAGGGATGTAACTGTATGATCCCTTGATGAAAAAAAAGATGGGCTAACTCTAGGAGCATAAGATCAAACAGATGAACTTCTAACGTACCCATCTTAATGCACAAGAATGCATTGAAAACAAAAACATAATTTAAACTACATATATTGTACAACATCCTAATGCACAAAAAACATACTCTTGCTCATTAAGAATTTATTTCTCTTTATCTAGGTTGATAACTTCATTCATGCTGACATGCATCCTGGAAATATCCTTGTTCGGAGCAAGTCATCTCGTAAAGGGATCTTCAAATCGAAGCCTCATGTCATATTCCTTGATGTAGGCATGACTGCTGAACTTTCAAAGAGTGATAGAGTGAATTTGTTGGAATTTTTTAAGGCTGTTGCTCGTCGAGATGGACGCACTGCAGCAGAGTGCACACTGAGGCTATCAAAACAACAGAATTGTCCTAATCCTCAGGCCTTCATCAAGGTAATATTAATCTTTAATTATGATAATTCTTTATGTAGCATTAATTATGCTTGGAGCTTTCTTTATGCTACCTTGAAATGTCTTCATATTGGGGCATAAGCCACCATTTAGCCGGAAGAAACAACCCTTGATCATTGATATGATTAGACTATACTTTCTTGTAACACCCCAATTTCACATTTGCATATAAACATATATTTTCATATATCAAGAAATATAACTTTACATATTCGGTCCCAAATATATACAAAAGCTACAATACACAAGTAGCTACCAAAAATTTCCACGTAACATAGTACAACAAATAATCAACACAAGAGAAAACACAGTTTCACAATCTCCCATGCAAGCAAATATACAATCTTCACAACTTTTCCTTCCCTTTATCACCTGGCCTGTAACGCACATTTTGAAATACAAATGAGGGTTAGACCTTGAGGTCTAGTGAGAAATCCCTTCTTAATTGCCATTACAGGGTAGAATTCACCAAAACATCTTTTTAGAAAATCCTTCGTCAAAGATATCATAAAATATGATTTAATTTAGCAGTCCTTTTATCGCATCCTAACGATGAGATAACTCCATTTTATCGCATCGAACAACATAATCAATAATTTGTCGCATCAAACTCAAAATACATCAACTTGTCGCATTTAATATTTAAATGATTATATTTTGTCGAATCCAACTAATGCGATGAACATAGTTGTCGCATCATAATCTGCTTATTCTCAATTCATCGCATCATACTGATGTGATATAATCAACTCATCGCATCACTCACATGCGATAACACTCCATGATCAAATATCATCATTTCCAGAAATTGATTATGCCTCCCTTATACCAATATAACCAGCTCATGATTATGCCACACTTGTTACAAAATATACTCAACTCCAGATTATGCCACCCGTATTATCCAATATACCCAACTCGTGATTATGTCACCCTTATTACAAACAGATGATAATAACGTATCAAAACACAAAATTTATGCTAAATACTAGCATATAATCACCTTCAAATCTCAAGTATGAAATCATACAATTTCTTCACCAAAAACAATTAAATGATGCTTTTATAATAAAACTCACCTAACCACAAGGGTGGTGCCTGATTGGTTTGAGCTTGGCTTCAAAGGTCAAAAGTACCTAGATGTCCCAGGTTCAAATCCAAGGAGGAATAAAAATCCCCTTGTGGCCACGGAGCTTCAAATGAGGTGACTCCGAGCTATCTGCAAAGCAGGTGGACGCCCTGAGATTAGTCGGCTCGCATAGCGGGTTGGACATCCAGGTTAATCAAAAAAATAATAAAACTTACCTTGTAAACATAGTAGATTGAAGACCTTAAACAGAAATCAAATAATTAGATAATCTTGTAACAATTTCTTCCTCTTTCTCTTCTGTTTTATTGAATCCAGAAACTAAGAAAACACACCAACCTTTCTCCCTCACATTCTTTTTCTCCTCCAGAAGACAAAACCAAATAGGATAAAATCATATACATATATATATATATATATATACATATACATATATAGGGGTCTATTCAAGGGAGAACTGAGTTGTTTGTGGTAACTGTGAGAACCAATATTAACCACAAATCAATAGATAAATTAGGAAATTTATAAATTTGGTAATTTTAAATTAAAATCTTAATGCAAGGATATTTTTGGTATTTTAAAACTCTCATCTCTCCTCTCTTCTCTCTTCGGCCACCGTTCTCCGGCCACCGTCCTCCAGTGATACCACTATGATACCACTGTGATACCTAAAAATATTGACTCTGTTAAACAAAAGATACATTGTGATACATAATCATATATAAGATGCATAGTGATATCACTGTGTTACATCTTCGATTGACCACACAAACGACATCAATGTGATACCCAAGCACATATATGATGCATTGTGATACCATTGTAGTATCACCGGCGGACGGTGGCCGGAGAGAGAAGAGAGGAGGGATGAAAGTTTAAAAATACCAAAAATATCCTTGCATTAATATTTTAATTCAAAATTGTCAAAACTATAAATTTCCTAATTTATCTATTGATTTGTGGTTAATATTGGTTCTCAAAGTTACCACAAACTAATTAGTTCTCATTTGATTAGGCCCCTATATATATATACATATATATATATACATACATATATATATATATACATATATATATATACATATATATATATATATATATATATATATATATATGTATTTTAAAAAAAGAGACTGAGAATTTTAAGATATTTTAAGCATATTTCCAAAGCAACCCCTCAACTTATAACCAACAATAAAAATCCACCCCAAACTTTATAACCCCAAACTCGGTTATCACATTTCTCAAGGCTATAAATGGCTGTAAATGGATATATCCATCCAATTGCGACCATTCATATCCTCGTAGCTGATGCACTTATAATACAGTTATATCCGTAGTCGGAAATGTTTGATTTTTTGATATAAAATAATAAAAAATGTAATTAATATAGAAGTTTTTATTAAACAAAAATATTGATTAAAAAAGCAATTTAAGTATTTGTACGTAAAGTATGCTTTAAGTGATTATATGAAAAACACATACATAGGTTCTTGCATGATAGGTTTCCTGTATTGATTTGACCACGTAAGCGAGACCACCACCCAACAGCATTTTGCCAATTAGATAATTGGTTAAATAGAAGGCAAGATGTAAATGCATACAAATTCTTAGTTCATTCAAAACATTTCCAATTCGTACTGCTGTAAGATAGGATTCTAACTTTCTGTTTTCTTTCCAATCAAATGCTAAAGATGTCTTGTATCATTTGTTTTTCATTCTCTCGTTTTTTTTGGCTTAAGACGAATGTATGAAGGCACATTTTCATTTGTCTGTATTTCTTATGTGTTTTTGTGCATGTTTCGGGTTAACAGGAAGTGACAGAGTCTTTCGATTTCTGGGGTACTCCAGAGGGGGACATTGTCCATCCTGCTGATTGCATGCATCAAGTGCTAGAGCAAGTGAGGCGTCATAGAGTCAATGTGGATGGAAATGTCTGCACTGTGATGGTTACAACTCTGGTTCTTGAGGTAACCCTTTCTGTAATTATCTTTTCTATAAAGCTTGACCATAATATGGATATGAACCGAAAATGTGGTGGGTTATTTAGGAGAATAATCTTCTGACCAATTTTAATTAAGACGAAGAATCGTGTGAGAATAGGAGTTAAGTTGAGAAGTGTAAGAAGGGATTTGGACCCTTGATCACTTTTAATCCCAAAAACAACCCATGAATGCGCTTTAGAAGGGAACTGATGTAGTGGTTCTCATTAGTATTAATCTAGTGAATCTGTTCATTTAGGATTGATCGAAGGGTGGAGATCCCTTCTCACCGTAACTTTCATTCTCACCGGAACCCAACCCTTTTAATTAAATGCATGGCCTTCTGACAAGATTAAGAACAACTCTATTCAACTGAAGAATGCCTCAAAATCTGTTGGAGGGCCATGCATTTAAACAAACCTGTCAAAACTCGGGAGGTCATTCTTTACCCCCGCAGGGGGTGGGAGGTTGTGTAGTACGCATTCTTTTGAGGTAGGGATTAAAGGTATTCTGCTGCTTCTGTGGGTGGTCTTTTGGTAAAAATACAACTTCAACTCTTGACCAACCTTCTATTTAACAAAAAATTAAGGGTAAATTGCATGAAAATGCAATGTACTCTAGTCTAGTACTTATTAAATGTAATGTACTTTCACAACTTTCATTTTGGTATCTCGGATGTGATATCTCAAAACACTTGGACTAAAGTATGTTGCATTTTTATGCAATCTCAGATGTAAAACCGTTGCCTAATGTTTGAGACGTCATAACTGAGGTACCATAAACTGTTACATAAAATAGGGATTAGACCAAAGTACGTTGCATTTTCATGCAATTTGCCCAAAAAGTAAAGCAACACTTTGTTCTATTTAGGATCAGTAATCACATAGCATAATTACGATTGCATTCATTGGTTGTATATCATGTTCGGATTCGCTCTTTGATGAATGGTTTAAATTTCACTAGTCTTGGTCTTAGTTTACGATTGGTTCTTACAAACAGGGTTGGCAACGGAAGCTTGACCCAGATTACGATGTTATGCACACGCTTCAAACGTTGTTGCTGAAAGAAGACTGGGCGAAGTCGCTAACCTACACAATCGAAGGCTTAATGGCCCCATAAAAGTTTTGTAAACCGCTACGTTTTTATACATGTTTTTGTATTTTAGGTGTTGAGTTTTTATAAGATATAAAGAATGTGACATTCTTTATGAAAGGGACCATGTTTGAATTCAATATATAACTATAAATGTAGTGAAAAAAATCTTCATCTCTATGCACATTGCTTCAAAGATTCTTCAAAACTTACATTTTGACCCTTAAAACTGTTATGACAGGTCGGTTTTTATTGGTTACAATTTTCGGTTAACCTAGTTTTTCGAAGAAACTAGTAAGGCACCCGTGTGATGTTGTTGTCTGCATCTCGATCTAAAGCCGAGAACATAGAATGTCAATCATGTCTCGTTTTTTACTTTTTTTTGTCCATCCTGATGCTAGTTGTATACCCATACAATGTAGCTGAGTGTAAATTTTGAATAGATATATGGTACAAAGAGGTTTTTACCAGATAAAATATATATCTTGATCCATTTTACTTTTTTATGTTGAATGTGAGGGAATAAAAAACAAATTAATGTCAAGGTTGTAAAAAACATGTTTTTTTTGTGTGAAAATGTTCAATAGATGATGTTATGAGAATTTTCCTCATAGTCATCAGTTTTTATTTTTCCAAGACTCTTGAGACTAAATTAAGGAGCTAGCAAGTTGGCCTAGACACCATGGGTAAAATGATTGTGGTTAATTTTAAAGTTTTTTAATTGACGAATATAATATAAGTTGAGAATTTTATTCTTTTTTTTTTGTTAATCTGGATATCCAACCCGCTATGCGAGCCGACTAATTCCAGAACGACCACCTGCTTTGCAAATAGCCCGGAATCACTACATTTGAACCTCCGTAACCACAAGAAGATTTTTATTCCTCATTGGATTTAAATCTGGGACCTCCTGGTACTTTTGACCTTTGGAGCCAAGCTTAAACCAATCAGGCACCACCCTTGTGGTTGAGAATTTTATTCTTGGTTGCTACTATAATTTTGAAGATGAAGTTTGTGGTTCATTAGTAGAGAAATTATCTTCACGTTTTCTCAGATGTTAGCATTGCATCGAACAATGAGAATATGTTTAAAAAAATGTTTCTCAAAAAAGCATAATGATATCTACGGTAAAATGAAAGTACTTTTTTTTTTTATAAAATGGGAATCAAGTCATATAAATAATGTTTTTCTATAAAAAAAACACTACTTATATAGCTCTTTTAGAAAAAGAAAAATAAAGCAACAGTTGTAGAACAGTTAAAAAAAATAGGTTTACAGTAGATATGTATGTATATATAAGAACATGATGAATACTGATTGTTTTTCAAAGCAAGACCTTTACAATAGATGTCAATATTTATAAGCATAAATTTGAATATTGGTATGATATTTTCTACATTCAGACCTTGTAATAATAGAGAAAAAGTCATCATACAACTGAAATATATTTGATTGTTTTGTTTGGTTTAGTCTTTAATAAGATCCAAAATAACAATCATGAACTTCTGCATGCTCAAAATTTGTAAAATGTTTTCTATAGGGGTTAGCAATACCCGGAGTACTCGATCCAACCTCACCTGATAAACTACTGAAAGTCCGGCCCTTAAACCCGATGACCGATATTTTCTTCGGGTAAGTAGGATCGGGTGGGGTATCCTACTTTCCCCCCCGACCCGTCCGACGACCCAATATTTATATATATTATATTTTTCCTTTTAAGTTTTAACTAAACGTAGCCTAATTTCCAAATCGACGACAACGTCTCTCCTGACTTCCTCAATCGAACTTCGACCTCGGTCAACGAGAGACGATATCACCACATGACCCCTCCGTTAGTTCGGTACTGACATTTTGTTATAAAAATTAAAGAATTAAGAAGTCATTTGATCATTTTGTTACTCGCTTAGATACTTAGATTTGTGTTCTAAATACTTAGATTTCAACTGGAAGCTAAAAAATCTGGAAATCTAGAATAGACAAGACAAGACAAGAAGCTGGAAAATAGGAAAAAAAATTGGGGCCCAAGACCCGAACTAACCCGATACCCATGGGGTTTATCTAACATTTGCGGGTTTAGGGTTCCATTAACCCCCCAAAATTCGACCGGGTTTTCTGGTTTGGGGCCCAACCCGACCCGACTCATTTCTTTGCTCACCTCTAGTTTTGTGTGATAATAAGCAATCAAAATCATCCAAAATTATAATGTTGTAATTTGTAACAAAAAAAAAAAAAACACATTTTTAATGTATTTTAATTTATCTATGATTATGTATTTTTAATATGATAAATGGCTAAAATGAAAAAGTAAGAAGTATGAAACAAATTAATTCGTATGTATTCATGATTTTTAATAGTACGATTAAATCTAAAAAATATTCATATTGACGAGACGGTTATCGTGGCATAATAAAATAAGAAACGTATTTTAATGCATTTTAGTTCATATACAATTATTTATGTTAATATGATAAGTATGTAAAATAAAAAATGAAAAAGTAATGGATTTAAAGTAAATTAAATAACTAATTGTAAGGGTATAAAATGTAACTTGGAAATTAAAAATGATTTGATTTTCAACGGAAAAGGTTGTGTAAGCCTTAAAAGTTTATACATTTAACATAAAAACCCGAACCTTTTAAAAATTTCAAGAGAAATGTAACTCTCTCTCTTTTAGTATGGTATAGATAACACATTGTACTTGTGTACCTTGAAAAAATTGAACTAAAAATTAATCAAATTAATTGGGATTACGAGGAAGACATTAAGAATGCGTTTGGTATACTGGACATGATAAAGTAAAATAGAAATATTTGTTCCACATTTAACATGACTTTTATGTGGAACAAGGAACGTGCATGTTCCACCTTTACCTCATGAAAGATGGTGGAACAGACTTACCAATATAAGTTATAACCTCAAAGTAAAACTTAATTCTCTTTGAAAACATAAAATGTCTCATTTTTACATTTTAATCATTCATTAAATTTTATTTATTAAATTTTATGTCTTTTAGACTTCATTTTACTGTCATCAAAAGATTATTTTTTACGGTTTCTATATTATTATTAATTTATGTAATTTACTATATATTAATAAAAAAATAATGTAGAAAAGAGATGATATAAAAATTGGAAACTACATAATAAACCTTTTATTTTGGTGTCATTTTAATTGTTTTGACAAAAACTTTCTAATGATATATTTTAATATAAAAAACTATATTTTATTATAATTTAATAAATTACATAAATTATTCAAAATATATAAACCACCCATCAAGGGTAAGTCAGTTTACTTATTCTGTCTTGTCAAACGTTAAACAATTGTTCTTTCCTGTCCTGTCTTATACTGTCTAGACACCCAATATAGCCTAAGGGGCTGTTTGTTTGGCTCTTAATGGTGACATTAAGAGTCAACCTCTTAATCGGTAAGAGATAAGGAGTGTTTGGCAAAAAAAATCAAGCCTCTTATTGGTTACATAACCCTCTTAACCATTTTGCATCCAAATGTTCACTAAACCATTCAGACATCTATTTTTCCAAGTTTACCCTTCCCACCCCTTCTTCCCAACCCCTCTCTTCACGTACGCCGCCATCGCCGGTTGCCATCACCGGTCGCCATTGCCATCGCCGGTCGCCATCGCCATCGCCGGTCGCCATCGCCATCGCCGGTCACCATCGCCTCCCCACGATCGTTCGTTCTTCTGTTCACCGTCTTTCCCTAACATCTCTGTTTTCGCCCCTGCTGTTTCTCCATCTCGATTGAGCCCTAACGGTGAAGGTAACACATTGCCGGTCTTCACAGCCCCTCCCCCACCCTCTCGTCGCCAAAATAGAGAGAGAAAGAAAAAGGATAAAGAGAGAAAGTGGAAGGAGGGAAGGCAGAAATATGGTGGAAGCGGATACCAGTTTGAAATTGGATTCAGCAAGAGATTTTTGGGAAAGGGGAAAACGATCTGGATGAGTTTCCCAAGCCTTTTTCTTGTAAGTTGCTTTCACCTAATAATTAATAACATGAAAAACAAATTGAGTTTGTGGATTGTGATGATAAGATCGAGGCCTGTTACTGTTGGTTGCTGGTACCTGAGACGAAGAAGGTGAGGATTCTTGATGATTTATGGGATGATGATTCTCGATGATTCATCACAGATTGAAGCCATCGATGAGGGCAAAGAGGAACAAAAAGTGAAGGTTAAAATGGAATAATGGGTTTTTGTTAGATGAGGGTTAAAATAGTAATTTATTGTCATTCAGAGAACAGTTACCAAACAACATTATTTCATTCAGCACTTAACCATTCTGACCCTCTCAAACATTCTGACCTCTTAACTATTCTGCACTAAATCATTCAGCAACTGTCAAACAGCACCTAAGTAAAAATTACGATGACTGATATGAGCAAGAGTCATATTGTCACACAAATGTGATATCACCATGTAGAGATCTACAAGGATCGGGCCTTCCAAGTCCATTTTCAGTGAGCAAAAGAAAACGTTTGGGCGGCTTAATCGGGGTTTCTCGGACTTAAGAAAGGGCTTTTTCAATCAGAAAGTTTCCTCTTCTTTTCCCTGTGCATTTTCTTATAATGGAAAAAAAAATTAAAATTAAAACTAAAATTAAATTAATTATAGTTACAAAATACATACATAACACCAACGGTTTCCATGTTTATGTCCACCATTCAAACTAAAATTTAAGCTTCGATATGCTACTATATAGCCTCTCAGTTTTCCAACGACAGTGACAATGGTAGCACAAAGACGAAACAGAGTGGTATCACCGTTAAGGGTTGTAAATATTCTATACAGACGGGCTGCCCATGTCTGTAACAACTTCTAGGAGTGGCTCCTTCAAAGATTTCCTGAAACCCGATCCAGACCTAGAATCTTGCAGACCGTAAATAGAAGAAAGGATAGATCTTATCTCGGTTATTCAACGTTCTTTCTACTTGCAACGGGGCCACAATCAGATTCTTTCGTGTTTTCAGGCAGCTTAATTTGGAACTCTGTTTTGAGAAAGCCATGTGGAACGAGAAATTGAGAATAGAGAACGGTCATGGCTACCTGCACAAAAAACACGACCAAGATAACAAACGATCAAGAGATAGCTCATAGGAGTCAAAAACTAAGAGCAGGCTTCGTGTTTGAAGGGTAAAAGTGGAAAGTAAACAAACAAAATGCAGCCAAACCATGGTGGTCATGCAACCTGTCGAACCCCTTTAAGAAACTAGAGATAAATGTACGTCATGATGATTTTAAAGAAATATATGTTTTTATATGTATATATATACGCTTGATATTAGCTAAGAATTTTTTCAGTTATGATGCTAGAAACCAGACTGGAAAGGAAAACAACCTCAAAAAGTTCTGCTAAAAGGGTTCGACACTACCCTCCGGAGCTCCCCCCCACTGCTTACATCCCACCCGTGGGTAGGATATACTGGGCTCGTTTGGTTTCGGTTTTACTCGTCTATTTTGGAATTATCAACGAGTACTTATAGATATATGACTAACAGTCAAATACATACTTCAGTTAGGGCCTGTTTGTTAGCAACTTAACTAGCTTAATGAGACTCACAGCCTATTCGGTCAGCTATACATGACTGTTTGGTCGTGGCTTCAATAATATAGAAAGTGGCTTATTCAACAAGCTTCTGGGGGGGGGGACTTTATGCATAAAGCCAAGCTTGATGGGACTCAGCCTATTCGGTCAGCTATACATTACTGTTTGGTCGTGGCTTTAAAAACATGCTCCTTCCATCTATGAAAAAACCCTTACAACAAAACCTTTCCAATCTATATAGACAGATTAATCCATATACACAGCTTTTTCCATACAGGACTTAAATGGAAAACCAACCAAACAGCCCCTTAGACTATATACCGAAGTATGTCCTCAAGCAAATGTTTTGATTATTACCTTTTGATCATATCCTAAACTTGGTGTGCAAAATCTAACACATCACCTTGAATGTAATAATTAGGAGTTTCATGTCCTAAAATAACTATAACATTTGACTAGACATGCAATCTAATGAACTTGTTTGACTACATTACTCAAAATATCTAAGATATCCCTCCATAATGACAAAAAACAAGAGAAATCTTGTGACCGAAATCAATGCTATCAGTATTCTATAATGATTAATAATTGACAATGAGGTAATTCTAGATCGAGACATTGCCAAAAATGGAAAAACTGCATTTACTCCGGGACATGCATTAAAGTAATTTGTTGCATGTTATTGAGATGGAGTGACCGATCTCATTAAAATTACCTCTTGTTCTTCTTTGCTATCACAAAGCTCCATTTGGTAGTCATGGAACACTTTTAAGGGAGGATAACCAATCAACCACTAACTGCATTTATACCTTGTTGAATTGGCATCTTTGTAAGTCCGCTTTTAGAAAGTCCATACGAAACGAGAAACCAAGAATCACCAAGACCACCTGCAACACAAAATTTAAGTACCTTCACAGAAAGTCCAGATAAAAGCATGAAATACCCACCTCGCATGCTAATCAATGATATAATGCACTCACTCATGCGTCAAACCAGATAATCATAAAAACCAAACTGAACCAAACCGGACCAGTAAATCCCACTCGAATGTAAGGTTTAGAAGGGGGAGATGTAAGCAGACATCTATCTCAAAGAGCAGAGCGGCTGTTTTTCTGAAGACCCTCGGTGAACATTAGAACATAGAACATAGAACAAGAAGGAAATAAGAAAAAGCAACGAGTACAAAAACCAGAAAATCATGATCAGGTAAAAATGGAAAACAATAAAAACGCTGTTCATACATGGTAATCAGGCTTTGTGTTTCCATATTAGAGATACGTATACAATACGATGATTCTAATGGAAGGTATGTTTCCATATCTAACCCTAAAGTTACAGGTGCATGTTATCGAGGAAGAACTTGAATGTCTATGTACACTTATAAGGTAAATCTCTATTGGTTATCATGTTTAAACTTTGAATGTATTTTGAGTTTTGATATGAATATAGAGGAAAAAACCACCACCACAGTAAAAGTGTAGGAACTATTAGTAGAACAATAGAAGTGTAAGATCCATTGGTTGTTGCAAGATGAACTAGGAGACCACGCTATCTTGGCAGATAGGTAAAAGGGGTGAAATTTTGCATAGAGTACCAATACTAGTAGAAAGCATAATGAAATATAATGGAAAAATAATGAGAGGAAAAAAATCAGAATTTTTCTTCTACCTTTTTCGGGAAAAAATGAACATGGTTTTATATGCAAAGATACACTCATAAGAAACTGAAACAAAACCCTATAACCTGCGAAAACAATCGACTATATCCTCTAATAGGAAACTAATTAATAGAAAAAATAAAATCCCGAAACTATGGCACTTAAATGCCATAATTCCACACTCCCTCTAGAGAAGGTAGGTTTTCAAATGTTAATTAAACTAGCTTTGGAGGTCGTGGATTGGGGTAGTTGATTACTTGTATGACTCTATTAGGTATCGTAGTTCGGGGAAGGGGGTTAGGAGAGTAGAGAGTCAATAGTGTCATGTGATCGATGTATAGGAGGGAATCTTTCGAATGTTCCGTGTACTTTTTACCTAGGTCTTGTTGGCTTAGCTAGCTCTACCGTCCTTCTTGACCCTGTCTCATCGATTTCTCTTTCGTTTTTATTTCCTCTTGCCTTCATTTTTTTATTGTTTCATGCTCTTTGTAATTCTAATTCACCGTTTTAAAAAAATAGTAATTAAATAAATAAGATATTTACAAAACTATGGCTTCTATCTATGCTTTCAAAATCATTTTAGCAAGGCGGAGGTCTTTTCACAAGAGTTGAATAGTATTCAACTATGCCACAAGTGCAAATATATCTTGATAATCTACTCCATATGAATGTGTGAAATTAGGCGTATGCAAATTTAAGAAAGGCGTATGCAAATCTAAGAAGGGCTTATCGGGTAAATGCCACCACTAAACTTGTATTTCTTGGTGTAAAAAAAATTACAACCCTTAACGGTGCTACCACCATGATTCGTTTTGTTGCTTTAACAATGAAAGAGTCTTCACCGAGGTTTTACTTATAGATGGTTTCCACTGGATTGGCCACCCCTCTACCACATATTCCATGGTGGATTGCCTCTTGGAGTGTAGAATAGTATTATTTTTAATTCTCGGGGTGGGGGTATATATAAGCTATAGGTTAGGCACATTAATGGTGTTGCGTGCGCATTTGATGAATCTTAAATGCATCTTATACGTGCTTGTACCTTCTTCCCCTATTTAAGCTTTTTTTGTACGGTACAAGTATATGATGGTTTTTATTAGCACATATGGTTTTTTAAGGTAGTGGTATTGTCTTTGGTCGTCCTAGTCCTCGGGGTTCATGCAAATCATTAATTCCACATGAACCAGACGAATTTCCCTTTTTTGTAGAACAAACATGATTGTGCAATACAAAAACCCTAACGTAACTCCTCGAAGTTGGAACTGATATTGTGTTTTATATCATATATGGTGGAAAACATCGAAAACTTCCTTGACTTCGTCATTGAACAAAAAGCCCCATCTAACGAGCTGGAAAATCGACCAAAAATGGCCAAATAACGATCCTTGTAGTTAATTTATAAGTAATTTATATTTTTATTTTATACTTGTAATTAAAATTTATTTTTACTTTATTTTATATTATGATAGTTAATTGTGCCATTAAAAAAAGTAGTGAGGTTTCCATGAAGACCCCACCTTGTAAAAAGGGTTATGAAAAAGATTTTGTGAGAGAAGGGAAAAAAGTTGTTTTGAAATTTTGATAGAATATTTGAAAGAAAGGAAACAACAAGAAAGAAAGAGAAGGTGTTTGGGGGAGTTGGGAAAAAAGTAAAAAGAACAAATAAAAATCTAAAATAATAACAATAATAAAAAGCAAGGACATTAAACGCATATCAAAAGGAATGGAACCACTGAATATTTATCTGAAGTCATGTCTTCCGAAATGCTTAAAGTTGCATGTCCATTCTCAACTGCTCCTCCCATGTCCTCCTCGGCCTGTCTCTCCTTATTGACCTAACACAATCCACCCTCCTTATTGGTGTTGACCTCTATCTTCCACAAACGTGCCAAAACAACCGCAATCTCACCTCTCCATCTTATTCGCAGTTGCAGGAGGTGATTGAAGAAACAACATGAGGTGATTGGGGAGGGAACCACGATGGAAGGGGAATATCATTTGGCCAAAGAAGTATCCTTGGCATTTTAATGCTTAAGTTGTTAGGCTTCCGATATGAATAATAGGAGGAATGAAGAATAGAAGGCATGGAGTGATAATTCATTGAACTGTATTGATAGAGTAGCCTCTCAAAAGCTACAGTATTCCTTTAAATTGTCGAGAGTGCAAATTTGAACACTAGTTCTTATGTAGGATGATCCTTCCACAAGTCCATCTAAGGATCCTCATTTCAACCACCTCTATCTTCCTCTTGTGTGCTTTTTTATTGCCAACACTCCAAGCAACATAACTCGTCTGATGGGTAACCTAGAAAATGTCCTTCAGCTTTAGTGGGACTTTCTTGTCACACAACACTCCTATATCAGCCATCCATTTATGTGATGATTAACATCATCCTTAACCTCACCCTCATCTTGAATCATAGAGCCTAGATACTTGAAACCATCCTTTTATGGTACCTTTTGCTATCTTATGCAGACATCTAACCAATCCTCGTTACGCTTTAGACTGAAATTGCACAAAAGGCATCAATCTTTAACCGACTAATGCGCAAGCCTTGAGTCTCTAAAGCCACCCTCCACTGTTCCTGTCAAGAGTTCATCTCTATCTTTGTTTCCACAACGAGTACAATATCACTGGCAAATAGCATATACCACGAGATACCTCCTTGGATCCCTTGCAAAATTTCATCCAAAACCACGGTAAAAAGAAATGGGCTCCTAGTATGCCTATAATCTTAAATCTCTTGACACTCCCGTCTACATTATGCTTGATGGTGAGTATAGATCCCATATGATATTCTCTCAAAAACATGAATTTCTTCGACAATAACCGCTTTATGACTACAAAATATAGGCTTTTATCAAGATTGCTAACAAAGGCAAATTGTTTAGGTGACAATGTTCTATATGATAGGAAATTATAAATAGGATGGCGGGTACATGACCTCTTTCCTTTTCCCAAAGATTCGTCTATCATCAATGAAGGTGAACTTTAAGGTTCCTTTGTTCACACTCTTAGCTTTCTTTAGGTCGCTCTTGTTCCTCTTCTTCTTGTATGTTAGTCCTCCTAGACTAGCCATGAAGTTGTTTTTCATCGATGGAACTATTGCATTGGGTGATGAAGTGGACAAAGGTGGATGAGATTTAGGGATCAAGTCATTGAACAACTTCCAGAGGATGATGAGGTGGACATAAAAGAATGACTCATTGAATTTGTTGGAGGGTTCAAGGTAGAGGACAATTGGTTTGGTTTGAATTTGGAGTGATGAGATCCCAAGGTCAGTATTCTTTCATTGAGATCTCCCAGTGGATATCAATATGATAATAGGGTGATTTTTCAGATAATGTAACATCGACAAAATTACAGAACTTCCCAGTGGTCGGAGAATAACAAGTATACCCCTTTTGTTGGATGAGTTTGCCATAAAGATGCAATTGATGATCTCAGATCAATTTTGCTTGATGTTGACTATGAATGTGAATAAAGGCCAAACAATATGCGATTTCAACAAGTCTAGACATGAGAATGTAGGAAGGATAGGGAGGACTGAGGACATGACATGGAGTTTGAAATTTGAGGACTCAAGATGGCATCCATCAATCATAGCCTTTCTTGGACTTCAGTTTCAACTTTCTAAAGTGGGTTTGAGTGTAATATTTCTTCAAGGGTCTAACCTCTTTAATTTTACACAAGCCTATGTGACGGCATGAATCAATATGAGTACACAAAGGCACACAATATACCAATCTATTATAACAAGAAGCAAAAGGAACCAAGATTATACAACTCAAAGCAAGTTCGAGCTTGAGTTTTACAGGCTTGACAAACCACAAGTCTAGTCAAAAGATAGTAATTTTCATAAACCGAATAGTGAGCTAAGCAGCTAAGCAAGATCGGACTAGACTTGGCTCAAGTACACCTCGATTAAACAAAATCTCAAAAAACTTGCACCAAATAAAATTTGAGCTCCATGGTATATGATTAAGTTCTTGCCTTATGTTTGTTGAAAAGCTTAAACAAATACACCACAACCAACTACCTTTATGATTCAAATGGGCGATGAGTGATATAAGACGCCTTATGTGAATCTCATTGCTATTTGTGTATTACAAATGACTATTGTTTTTGTGAACCATGAACTAACACCACACATGAGACAATAAATGTGATTGAATTGCCTGATTTGTAAATCTTTCTAGACTTGAACAAAGTTGTATTTGCTTTTGATTTTCTATTCTTCTTCTCTTCCATTGTCAGTCCTAACGCTATAGTGCTATTGGTTGCTAGGCTCTAAAGACCTTGGTACCCTCATGGATATGGTCCTAGCAATTCCAAATAAGAGAGTAGACATTCTCTTATGGCTTACAAATTGAAGTTGACAATGTATAGGCCGTGGGATCTTCTAATTTAAGAATACAAGTGTTGTTAAAAATTAGTTGCACATATATTATCCATCTTTTCCTTCTCTGTGGATTCCTAGAATAATTGTTGAGTTATAGTTTATTGGTCAAGGCCATGAAGATCACTTGGTGAAGAAACTTAAAAACATCGAAAGGACCAGCCTAAGAGGAAACAACCGATGCCTTCCTTTGTAATGCTCTTTGGAATCCAACTGATCAAAAGCTTGTTGCTCGATAACAATTATGACATTCTTGTTACAAAGTCTGGCAGAAGGCAAAGAAACTTTATTCAAACCATACCACTCGTTTGTATACGATAGTTTCGAAGTTAAGCCAACCTTAGATGATGTCATGCTTTAACAATGTTGACTATAAGACGAACATGGAAAATTCCTTGTGGTTCTTGCATAAGCCAACCTACACCCTGAACGGATTCACTTCATAACCAACATATAGCTAGTCCTAAGATTCTAGCATTGATAGTGTGTTTGAACACTTAGTGGCTTGGTTGGTGGCTAAGGGTTATACCCAGGTTTATAGGCATGATTACGGTGATCGTTCTCCCCTATTACAAAAATGACTTCAGTTCAGATATTCCTTCCCATGACAGCCATATTCAGGTTGGATATCATCATATCAAGAATGACTTCTTCTACATGGTGAATTGCAAGAAGAGGTTGTTGCTCAGTTTGAGTCTTCTGGTATGGTATGTCATCTCGAGCAATCTCTCTATTTACTTAAACAGTGTCTGCGTGCTTTGTTTGGTCGTTTTAGCTCATTTCTTAATTAATTTGGTATGATCAGAAGTGAAGCTGACCACTAAGTATTCAACTGCCGCTTCTCTAGGTTGCGTATGTGGGCGACATTGTTATTATCGGGATTAACCAGAAGGGTATACAGAAACTCAAAGACATCTACCCCACCACTTCCAGACAGAAGATTTTGGTAAACTCAAGTAAAGATACTTTGGAATAGAGGTTGCTGTTACAAACTGCTAATGATTATCAAGAAAAACTAGGGCAAGATTTGATTATAAACTCATAACTGAATGATTATGAGACACTCTGGCTTTCGAGAGGCCAAGAACTCAATTGAATACAAAACTCATAACTAATTGATTCCACCTTCTTTCTATTTATACTTCTCCTAAAAATGACTTCCCTCACTTAATGACTAATTGAACAGCCCCCACAATTGACTAATTGACCGCCCCACTATTATCCCTATTATCTATATGTGTAACAATACCCCCCCCCCCCCAAAACATCCACCTTGTCCTCAAGGTGGAAAGAAAAAATAAACAAAAATGATTTATACCTCTTTCATCCAAATCCTTTATGGCTCGATGCTCTTTGTACCCAAATGCAACAAACTTCTCTTGGCCTGTTTCTTGCAAAATACCTTTGGCCTTTTCTTCCAAAACTTCATCATGTGCCGACGCATGGACACATTCAGCCTTCACGATCCACCCATTCAGATTTGTTCCATTGAACATCAATGCGTCAAGCCTTTTGCCTCGAAATCCTGAAACTCCTCCATAATCAGAATTTATACCATCTTTTTCTGGTTTCCTCATGCCCAAATCGACATGTTCATCATCTTTTGAGCTCGTAGTGTCGTCCTCATCGTATATTCTTGCAATTTGATCAACACTTCCATTGGTTTCTTCAAAGTCAGAAAATTTTATTTCATTGACTTGGTCACCGCCTGCACCGTTCTGATGCTTCTCTCCATAAAACTCCCAAACTCTCCCTTTCTGTTAAGTGCATGTCCATCGGCTAAATCCATTATCACCCACTTTATTTCCCCATATCCACCTGTTATTGCTTTGTTATTGCTTTCTGGAATTTTACGCTTGTCAGCCCCTTAATTTTTTCTTCCCAATTAACTGCCTCTGGAAGTTGAAAACCGCCATAGTAACTGGATGGTCTTTCTCTGTACTGTTGTAAATAGACAACAAGCACAACATCTTCAACAGGTTACCATCAAATTCTTCGTCCTTTTGCATTCCTCTATGCCACTCTTCGTTAGGTCCAAGCATCAACAAAGAAAGTTTGTTCTTCGAAAATCAATCAAGGTTACTAGCCTGATTAATCGGCCATTGCTTCCGTTTTCTCCATTGGATTGATTTGGTGAGTCTTAGTTTTTTTGGTTGAGCCGAACTAGACCTATATTGTCGACCAAACTTGGAACCCCTAACCAATGCCTGCCCCTAATTCAGCAACCATGGCCTGACCCAAAAATTTATATCCCTGATTTACGGCCTTCCTTTTCTTTTTCACGAACTCCTTCTTCGACTTCCTTACGACGGCAGTCCGGTCACCAGAAATTGAGTGTCTCTATCGAAAACGTCTCCTGGCCTGAACAAGTCTCTTCAACGTCTTCATTCCACAATGTATGTCTCCAATTCCTCGATTGACAAGCTTCTTTTCTGCCGTTGAAGGCTGTTTATGTTCTGATGTCGACTGCTTCATCCCTTCTTGTTTCCAATCTTCTTGTACTTCCTATTCTTTGAGCATTTGCTTCACATCCTGAAAATTTTCTTTTATAGATCTTAACTCCGATTGCAACGACCTTAGATTTCCTACCATCTTGTTGCAATTGGGGAGCAAACTCTTGGAAATCTCCAATATCGACTGCTCTGATACCATTTGTTACAAACTGGTAATGAATCAAGAAAAACTAGGGCAAGCTTTGATTATAAACTCATAACCGAATGATTATGAGACACTCTGGCTTTTGAGAGGCCAAGAACTCTCCTAAGGGTTACACCCAACTGAATACAAAACTCATACCTAATCGATTCCACCTGCCTTCTATTTACACTTCTCCTAGCAATAACTTCCTCACTTATTGACTAATTGACCAGCCCCTAATTGACTAATTGACCGCCCCACTCTTATCCCTATTATCTATATGTGTAACAGTTGCACAATCTCCTCACGCTATCCTCCATCTCCAAACAGAAGTATGCCATGGACATCTTGAAACAAACTGATAAACAGATAAATAGTTTGTGGATTTGAATGTCTTATCAAACCCAAGCCAATATTGGAGTCTTATTGGTAATAGAATGGAGTAAGGGAAGGCCAAAAGGAACTTCTAAACTCGACCATTAAGAAGAATGGCAGTAAAAGTTTTATGATTCTGTTTAATTTATCTACAAGACTATGTACAATTTTCTAACTTATATTGTACCAAATGATGCAATTCATGATATAGTACACAAACAAAGATTTTGGTGCAAGACATGATCATTGTTGGCCTAAACCATAAGCAAACGGTGTAAGATTATCTTAAAAACATGTTGTACAACCAAAAGTTATAACTTTAAACGTTTAGAAGCATGTAGTTGGACAACATTTATGTAGAAATTGACTATTATAAAGTATACCATGTTCATACATTGCAATATAGATGGTTGATTGGCACCGGATCAAGAAGGTTTGATATCTTCCTCCTGTAGATTTTCATTGTTAATGTTAAATTCAAAACTAGAAATGGGGCTTACTTACAGAACCGATAAGAATATATAGATCGTACTTGCATCACAAACAACACCGATGACAATTGGTACTGAACCGCCCGAATAAACCAAAAGTTGATTTTATTCTTTAGTTACACCATCGATCCTGGAATCATAAGTGAGTGAGTGAGGGATTGAAGCAAGAACTATACATCACTACATGAACTAGAAAATATCATCTTCTAATGATTCTAGCAACAAATTTTTTGAATTATATAGAAAAAAGTTGTGAAATAAACAAAAAGGAGTTGATAAAATGAAAACCATCTTTGCTCATGGAAGATGGAGAATAGATGTGAAAACAATTAGGTCCAAGTTATTATAGTTTCATTAGTGGGCCCATTTATATGACACAGTTTGAACAAAGATGTGCTATGGATCCTATTTACTTGATGTGAAATGAAATAGATGATGAAGAATGGAGGAAAATGGAAGAGATAACTTACTCCGCATGTGAAACCCTAGAGATTTCTTCAATTGCCGCATCTATACAATAGACAAGCATTTTCTTGACCTGATATAGGGCTTCTATTATCAATGCTCTCGATGAAAAAATATTTGAAGAACTTGAAATTCTCATGTTAGAACGCTTACCGATAGCATTTTCCCTTTTGCTTTGTGATTCATGGGAAGCCGACGGAGTTCCTCACTCAACTTGAAGCACTCAGATGCACTTTCGGGTGAGATAAACTCCAAAACCAGATTAACACAAGACTGCAGGAGGATGAACATCTTAGTGTGTCAGGGCTCAAATGCAAAAGCATTTAAATCACAAGCCTTAAGAAAATTGAAATTATTATAGTGACCAAACTATACATAAGGACTGAATCATAGAATTTCATTTTGTAGGAATCAACATTCTTGACCATTTGAGATGACCAAAGAAGCCCAAAAATTCGCAAACAACACTGAAACCGACAGTGTGGAAGTTATGGTGGATTGGTTTCAACTTTTTTATTCAATTTTTCAACTGTCAAACCGACACCAAAACAAACAGGGGCAAATTAGTTCATAAATTATTTATTTTTGAGATTTATATCATATGCAGTTATATATATATATATATATACACACACACATAGAGAGAGAGAGAGAGAGAGGAAGGTTCAAACGAGAACACTAACTATTTAAGAAAACAAGAAAAAGGTCGTCAATGTACAAGATCACATGTGATTTTACATTAAACAGAAGCGGGTGACTTTGAGGCCACTTAAGTCGCAGGGCAAAGTCGCCCGGATCATGTAAGATTTTGTACGTGAATCATATATGATTTTGTACATTAACGACCTTTTTCTTATTTTCTTAGTGTTCTCGTTTGAACCCGCCCCTATATATATAGTCTTACATAATTTCTTTTTATAATACGTTTTCTATAAAATAAAACTGTATTAATAGTAAAAACCCAGAAAAACACAAAATTGATCTGTTAAACAAATTTGAATAGACAAAAAAACAAAAAGTAAAAGTCAATTTCCAAATCACACAGGCAAGTAGTTGGATGAAAATTATTATTTGGAAACTAGATTTCAACACTCTCAAATTTGACCAGAAACATGCAATTTTATGGAGAATCTGTCCCAAATTGAGCCCAACTCGACCACCTGATACCAAGACGGCCAAACGGTCAAGGTTTCAGTTGCTTGGTAGCTCCCAAATTCATAAAACCAAAGATTTTGCTTCATCTCATGGAACCTCATAAAACCGAATGAAGGTGAATCGTTTTCAGTACTATATGCAATCTCTGTGTTTGTATGAGTACTGGAATGATATTCCAAAATTTGTAAACACAGAAAATAAAACTAAAAATATGTTCTAATTATGTCTTCAATTTGATAAATATCATGTCACAGGCTCTTCCCATCAACCACCGTGATGAAATTTTCGTAATTTTATTCCTAATCATGTTCATACCTTCATAAAATTAATTTTGAGGCCAGACACTCTGCAACAAACAAACATGCACACTATAAAATACGCAAAAAGAACTTATGGCATGCTACCTTAATTTTCTTGACTTGATACGGACATCCAGCTGGAATGAAAACGGCTTCACCAATATGTTGTTCGAATGTCCATGGTTCAACATCTGAAAAATGACGGAACTTTAGTAGTATTTAAGAGGTAACATCTAGGGAGATGAAGCTTGAATAATACTTACCAAACTCTTCCTTAAGTTTCCTTTTATGGAAGGCGTCTAAATAAAAGCTTTCATCAAGAACCGGGTGAACAACCTAACAATGCAAATAAGTACTCGATCAATCTGAAAAATCGTGTTAAAAATGTTGATAAAAGATGATACCTTTTCGGGCGAGGAGTGGGATTCCTTGAGTTCATTAGAATACTTTCTAAGATACTCTACAAGCTTTGGAACATCTTGTCGTCGAAAAACATCCCACAGGGCCCCATGAGTATCAAGAACAAGTTTCTCTCCATAATAATTAGAATACAAATCCTCATCATCTGACACTTCAATGCTTGAATCATCAGAAAGCACACATACTTCCCCATTAGGTACTCGACTGAGTTCTTCATTTGTTTGGGTGAGATCACTACAGACTGATGATTTTCCAAAGAAATCATCTATTTTATTCTGGGACTCAGTCTTACTCAAGGACTCGTTATGATCTTGTGAACCATATTTATTCATCAAATTCTTTACTCTACTAAACTTTTTCTCAGAAATTGGGATCTCTGTAGCATGCACAAGAATATTCACCTGAAGGAAAAACAACAAAGGTGGAAAGTCATGAGACATCACTGGTGGAAAATCAGCCGAAGGATAATGTCCTACAAACAAACCTACACTTAAAGACTTTACTTTTTGCAAGAGTAGTGTAAAAGGTTCGGTTTTTGACAGAACCATGAATTTTCTGAACTAAACCAAACCAAAAAAGCCTTTGAACCGAATAGAACCAAACCATTTTAAGTTTGGTTTAGTTCCATAGCTTAAATCATTTCTTCTCTAGATACCATAAAACTCACCACAATCCCTTTTTGTAGAGAAAAACATGAGTTAATACACATTCTCTCTCCTAATACTAAGACCATCTTCCAAAAGGGGGAAACAAATGGTAGATTTTGATGGTAACACTTGTGATTCCTAAAGGTTTTTCTTTCTAATATAAATAAACTTTGAGTTTATTATAAACGAAATTGGATGAATTAATTGTAAATACATGATTACAACACAAGATAAATTAATTTAAGCTTAGTTCAAAACATTTGGCTCAATTTGGTTTGGTCCAACACCTGAAACTACAAACCGAATTGATTGGCATGATTTTTTTTGAATCAGGACTGAACTGCATTCTTCCATAACAGAACCAAATTGACTAGTTTAGTTTAGTTGATTTTGTAGTTTGCAGTAGCTGGAGTTTTTTAAAACATACCACATCAAATGCATGATAACATAATTTCGTTGAAAAATCTGGGTCTATAGGCTCTCCAGGTCTACCATATGAAAGATAGATAAGAGGACCCAAGTCAAGATTCTGAGTTTCCCGTGGCAGCTTTGATGCTAGATTTAGAAGACCACTCAATGGATTAATGTACTCGTGAAGTGGCAAATCACCCATCACGGCAGCATAATGACTTGGGAAATACTGCTGGAAGAAAACAGATGATAGCTGAACTTTAAATTTCAGAACCTCATTCTGTACATTTGCATGTGTTTTACCCCCCATAAAGATCTGCTTCCTACCCATTTCCACCTCATACCAATTGGAGCAGTTTTCCACCTCTGCTCCTTCATCCTTTTGGTATTTAGCACTCGCTTCTAGGTACGTGCAGAACATGAAAACCGGATCCCATTTCAATTCAGGATCATTCTTGACCACATCTCGAATAATAAGAGGTTGCCCTTTGACCCAATGCTGTGTAAAATGTTGTAGATTTTCGTCCCGAAGATCATCCCTCATGGATAAATACAAACACTTGCTCTTGAACAAGATTCTATCGTCACTTTCATTACCCGTTTCGGCATTTCCATCAGATGGTGAGCAGCATGATGTAACCTCCAAAGATTTTGTGAACTTATACTTGCAAATGATTTCTTTCGCACTTGTTTCAAGCTCGTTAGTCCAATTAAAGTCAAAAAGACATCTTATGTCAAGAACACCATTCCCACAACCACCTAAATTCTTTGGTGAGCATTTTATGCTTCCATCTTCACTTGTTTTCCAGTTCCACAATATTGTTGACAAAGATTTCCGTTTTTCTGTGCTCATGTATTTGAAATCTCGAAAACCCCCATGCAACTGTCCTTCACGAAAATCCCAACAACAAGATATACAAAGCATATACGAGCAATTTTCGCAACGTCTATGAACATCCACAATATAAGACTTGCAGAAACTGCTGCACAAGAAAAGGAAATGAAGGGAATTTACTATGAACTGCTGGGTTCAAATTGAAAATCTTCATGAAATTGCAAAATTTTGATTTGGCATGTTAAACATCCTAAATACCCTTTGGTTAAAAAAAGCTCTTGTGGACACAAAGTAGAGCAATCAATTTACTTGACGATTGTTGGCATGCCGTTTAAGGAAATTGTTACTCCTTTTCAAGGATCTAAACTCCCTTCAATAAGGACAACATAGATAAATATCATGGACGCAAATCAATGCTAGCATCTCACTTGTAATGATGATAATGGGCAAATGGATAATTTTAACATCAAAACTTCACAGAAAAGGAAAACTTGCAATTTTCATGAAACGGAGAAGTATTTGATAACATACCAGCACTGCTGCTTTTTGGAATCTATAGCAGGCTGAATCTGCAGCTCGGTATGATGCCTTTCTGTATTGGTCAAATTCCATCAATTTGTTCTTATTTTCAATCATCACTCAGAAAAAGTCAACAAACACAGACACAAACAAGGACACTTTACCTTTGATTTTAGCTTCCATATTGAGCTCAACGATTTTTTCTTGATTTATTTGTTCAAGCAAAGGAAGAAGCATATCGATCATATAAAGAAGTTGTTCACTTTTGTCAAACTTCTTTTTGCTGTTATAAACAACGAGATCCTGAAACATAGTTCCAAACATAAAGCTATACGGATTATGAACATTCAAGATCAAGATAAAAACAATTATGGTGGCTCTGTTCCGTACCGTAATTTTGACGTCTTTAGATCTTTCCTTTATGCAAGCTCTGCAATCGCAAGTTCCACAACAAACCGGACAATTTTTCTTGACATTTGTCTTATCAAGACACCTAATCCATTCAGATAGTTGAAGTCTGATTTCAAATGATCATTTTAATATGTAAAGTACTGGGGAAAAAATAATACAAGTACCGATTGTCAAGTATTGCAAGTCCACGATTGTTACACTAATAGTTTGTCTTATCACATGAAAGGGAAAAACATAATATCCGAATCAAACATGTCTTTGCTTACTTATTTTCCGATCTAGAGGCTGTGTCACGAAAGACACTTTTGTTGCAAAAATGCAAGGAAAGATCGTGTACGAGACCCTCACCGACTCTCACAATGCAAAGGAACTGCTGTGCTGTGATTATCATTTTAAAAATGTTTTTAATCTTTAGTTAGAACATAATCATTTATCCCAAGATTTTAAGCTACAACACCAAGTTATCCAATAGATTTAAGGATAAGTTTTTGGTATGTTGCAAGGATATATGTAAGAATTGGATTCGGGGTCCCAAAAAAATATTACGGATACGAAGGTGTATGTAAAACACAAGTCTATATTCAAAGCATCCAACACTAGAGTAAATAATTTATTTGTTCATACGCCAGATATATAAAATAAGCAAATTGCAAGCTTAATTTCGCTTTTACTTTTACTTAGGTAGCACTTGCTATGCAGTAATCAGAGTGAGAACAGAAAGGAGCATTACGATTGAATGGGCAAGCCCATAATAGTCTAAGAAAAAGAACATGTGTCACTGCGCCTTGCCTCCTTTATATCTCTCCATAGGGAAGAGACATCCTACTTTAAACTTTTAGCCTTGGTGTGTAAATTTACAATTTACGAAATTTCATGAGACTAACGCTGTGTTCTCGAGTCTTCCTTTACGAAGGAAAGGAAGAGAAAGGGAAGGAAAGTAGGAGGGAAAGAAAAAATCTTGTGCTCGAGTTTTTTAAGGAGGGAAAAGAAACGAAAGGGAAGAAAAATAATGTTGACTTTCCTCCCAAATGTGGGAGGAAAGGGAAAGAAAGAAAACAAAAGAATATAAAAATTAAAAATATTTATAAAATTACACATATACCCATCAATTACATTCAACTATAAAATAAATAAGGGCTTATTTGTAAAAATGACATCTTTCCTTTCCTTTCTCTCCCACTCAAGAACATGAAAACTTATTTCATTTCCCTTCACTCTCAGGAACACAAATAAAAAAATTATTTTCTTTTCCTTCCCTTTCTTTTCTTCTTTCCTTCCAAAATTCGAAACACAATGTAAAAATACCCCGCTGATAAACCTAGTCCCATACCCCCATATATTCATGGTCAACCTTTCATGGCTCTAGTCAAAGTTGCACACTGTGTACAATACATCCGAAGTAGGGCATCATTGGGGTAGAAGCACCCTACGTTGAACCTTCCTCAACCCAAACAAAACTAGTAAATTGCGCATGTAGGGTCTAGGAAGGGTGATATATATGAAGACTTCTCTACAGAGTCAGCATGGGAAAGAGGCGAGTAACCCTGATCCTTGCCCCCGATCCCTAATCTCCTTCCCCATCCTCGTCCCCAACGGGGAATGGGGATTATTTCCCCATTTACGTAACACTCCAAAATGGTCAATGTTTAAATGGCGAGTGGCAAACTGATCAAAAAAATGTAATATACTCTGTTTATTCAAGTATTATAATAACATTTCATTAACTACCCAAAAGAATGGCTTGGTGATGGAATATGATATATATATATATATGATACATTTTAAAATTGAATAGTCGACGATGGATAGGCACCGGATGGAAGTCTAGTTTTATTTTTGTTAGTAAATTTTATTCTTGTTATCTTTCTGATTAATAAATATATACATATATAATATAATATATAATTTTAAATTATAAATTATTTATTATAATACGGGTATGGGGGCCGGGCGAGTCAGGGAATACGATACTCAGCCCCAGCCCGGGTTTGAGCCAAAACAGGGATCCCCGGACCCGGGTTTAGTGGGGAATCTTCGTCCCCGATCGAAGCGGGTGAATTGGGTTCCCCGACAGGTCAGTGCAAATCACTATGCCTAGAGTAGAGAGGTTGTTCCTGTAAGGATACCCGACTTGCTAAAAAGTTTGCGAAAAAGATTTCTAGAGTAATGGAAAGCTTGAGACATTGTTGGAAAAAGGAAGAGAGACTTGGAAAAGTAGAGCAAGTAAGCACAGTAAACAACATGAAAAAATGATTTAAACGAGTACGGACGATAAAAGCATAAAAAAAGGTAGGAAACAGCTAAACTACCTAAAGATGCATTGCGATAAAACAAAAGAACAACTGAACCAAAAGAGCCTTTTTTGGCTAAATTCACACAAAAGCTGCTCCTATCTACTTCCAAAAGGTCCCCCAACCTAACTCGAGGCTCTGATATCTAGTTGTCGGCTCTCTAACCCTTCCCCATTCCACCCCAAGCACAATAACCACAATCCCTTACACAAAATCTACTATCCTTGTACTGCATCTCCACACACTTTGAAAGCATGTCTTTGAAATGCCTAAAGTCACCATGTCCAATCTCAGCCGCTCATCGCATGTCCTCTTTTGCCTCCTCCTTCTCACCCCCTTGACCATTACACTCTCGACCCTCCTCACCGAGGCCGACATCTATCTCCTACAACCGTGTCCAAGCTACAAGACATCCCTCAATTTTCGGTGATAGACACTACTCCCAACTCTGCTCGGAAAACCTCAAACCAGTCCAGCATGGTTCAAGCACAGGTCCACATAAGCATACTCATTTCAGCAACTTCCAACTTCCTTTCAAGTGACTTTATAGCCAAATAGTCCACCCTATGCAATATGATTGGTTTAATGGTCACCATGTAGAATTTGCCCTATGTTTTAGCGGGATTTTTCTGTCACACAAATCCTGTAGCGGCCCTCAATTTTAGCCACCTTGCCTTTTTGCGGTGTGTAACTTAATTTCCGACCTCACTGTCCTTATGGTGTGCCCTTTGCTCCCAAATGCTTATTTTAATCCCCTCGTCATTACCCTCCTTACTAAAATAGCACCAAAAGTACTCAGTCTTAGGATGACTAATGTGCAAGCACCCTACCTTCCTCATAGGACACAAACTCTTTTACACCCAAAATCAGCATATGCTATTTAACACAAAAAGGAGAGAAATAATAGAAATTTGATATCATAAGTGGCATTTTGAACATGTATCAAAAATGATAAAGGAGTAAAGCAAACCTTGCTTGGACACAATCTTCACAAAAGATATGTTTTTTGCAAGTTGAGCACTTGATGAAATTTCGATAGCCACACTTCCGACACCAGTGGCACTTCTTTTTCGCCACTTTCACCTTTGCTTTTACACTTGGTAAAATCTAGATACAACAGTAAAACCATGCCACAATTTAACATATTGGGTTAAGAAAAATAACCCCATATTGTAGCAGTAGTAGAACTTCGAATGATAAGTATCATATTGGCTTATAATGAAATAAAAGTAAACATTTACAAGAACGATTACATATTGCTTCGTGGGAACAATCTGCATTTTCGTAATAGGGACATAAAACAGAAGTGAAAGAAAGGAAAACATAAGTGGGTCATAAACAAGAGAAATATTAACAAGTTTGGTTATAAGAACAACCAACCTACATTGTAGCAAAAGGGCCACGTGAGGGGTACAAATACAAAACACAAAACAGATTTCAGCATAAATGAACTATAAACAAGCAAAATCACAACAACTTTGACTAAAATAAAAAAAATATGGCTATGAAAATAACATGCATTATAGCAACAGCAATAGAAATCAAGTAAAAATACAAAAAAGAAACAAAAGAAACATGATTGATTTTGATGGAAACATATCAAATTTGGCTATGAAAACAGCCTGCGCTGCATCAGAAAACTGTTAAAGAGTGCAAACAAAAAGAAAACATAAACGGATTATTAACTTGCAAATTAGAACAATTTAGATGGAAACAGAACAGACTTGGTTATGGAAACAACCTGCATTGTAGCAATAGGGAGTGGTTCTATGTTTTTTGATCTGAAAACCCTTCTAGGAAAAAAATTTGAAGCAGGAACCCCAACTTTGACATTCAAAGAACCAGCATTGTTGCCTGAGATGAGTCTTGATGATACTGGAGATTGTGAAATTTCTAGCCTGCCATACTTCAAATCTCTCACAACATTTTCTTTTGTCGTCAATTGTTTCTCTTTTTTCTTCTCCACTTGTCTCATCAAACACCCTCGGATCAAATCTAATTGGAGATCACCCTTCTCCAAGTTCATCTTTCTCAAAGCATCATCAAGTTTCTCAGAAATGTCAACTGAAGATTTCTCCTCTCTTTTGTTCCTTTTACCCTGTTTTGGGGGCAAATTGGAACAACCCGCATCTCCATTTGCCCTAATTTTGAGGTTGTCAGTTGGGTTTTCTCCAAAACCACAAACTGAATTTTCCTCTTTTCTCTTCCTTCTACTTCGTTTTTGGGGTAAAATGGGACAACCAACATCCTCATTTTCCATAATCTTTAGATTTCCACTTGATTCTTCATCGATTTGTGGAAGATCTGCCGTGGGTTTTGGTCTCTCGAGTTTTAGATGATCAGGAACTGGCTCTCTTTGCTTGCGGTAGTGGCTTTGTGCAAAATGTGCTTCACAGAGAGTCCTCCCCTGCATCACCGGTCGCCGGCAACGCCACTTCCTGCCATCGCTTCTCTTGCATCGCTGCTTGTCCGGCAAAGAACAATCACCACCTTCATCACCAATTTTCTCTACCATTTGAAACCCACTGCCTTTTTTGTTGCTCAATTTTTAATTTTTCTTGCAGAAATCAGGAACAAGGGTTCTGATGGGTATCTTGATAAAGTTACAGCAAGAGACAGGAGCAGTTGAGTATTTAACTTTGACACCGGATTAGTCTATCAAAATTGCCGATCGATCCGTTTAGCCAACTTTTTTGGGTTAGACCATTGAGTTTGCCGAGAAACTAATTCAACCCAAATGCAAACCACTCAATTTGTGCAAACCGTGTAAACCGTATTCAGCCAATCATAATTTTTTATTTTGTTCATTTTTTTGTAATTATGAGAGGTTGATTAATCATTTTTATTGTGGAGGGTGTTAATCATAGATATTATCATTTTTATTATTTTAATTTTAGAGAAATACATGAAACAGTTTCATTAATGTTAAAGAAATACATGAAACAGTTTCATTAAGTATTATATGAAACAGTTTCATTAAGTATTATATGAAACAATTTCACAACCATATATGAAACAACTTCATCAAAAAAAAGTATTATATGAAACAATTTCACAAG